GTGTCCTTCCCGTAATCCTGAAGACAACTTTCAGAACAGAGGATTCACCGAAAATGGCAACTAGTTACATTATGCAAAACTACACTGCTGCATTGTATCATCAGAGCTTTATGAAATTTAACTCGCCAAGACATGGTTGAAAAGAAGAACCAAGACAAATGGCGTTCAAAGAAGACAAATCTCTCAACACTGTCAATGTCTGAGGTGCTTTGGCCATCCATCCTCGATCTCTCCTTCATTCACTATCTGTCTGGCCCTATCCCACCTGTATGACACCCGATCACTCTTCATCCCTCTGTACATCCATTACCCCTGTCACTTCATCCTTCCATTTCTCTGGCCCAAGGCCTGAGCTTCCCTCGCCTGTCACAGATGATACTATCAGTGTGGATTACTTGGGATATCATGAGGAATATATGGTCAAATATCCCCTTGCAGAGGTCATAATATGTTAAATAATGACATTGCTATTTATAGGTAGTGTTGTTTTGTCTATATTTTATAAAGTGACTTAAAAATTCTAAGTACTGACTTACTATAAAAGAAACAGTGAGTGAATGATATTTACACTTTTAATAAGCTATTTATAATACATATTAATTATTACCAAATCATTGAGAGCTGCTCAGATACTCAACAGGTCTTTTTTACAGAAGATAAATAATCATATTTTCCATTATATAAATATTACTCCTACTTTAATAGCTGCATATACAACCTGATATTTACAATGCAATAGTACAGCTGTCATTGTTTTTTTAATTTTGTGACTCTGCGTATGTAATCGCAGTAAAATCTGTTTGGGTAATCATGCGCAATCATGCAGTTTTAAGCTCTTGGTCAAGTGTTTGTGCGTCTGTCTGTGTTTGTGGACAGACTTTTTCCAAACACTAGCATCAGGGAAGGATCAGCCTGTTGTGTGTGCTTATGCACCATGCAGCAGCTCAGAGCAGTCAGACTTCCCGCAGTCTCGGGTGGCCTCCTGAAAGGATTCCATCTGGGGCACCAGATTTCAGCTGTAGCGATAGGGCGAGGAGCTTCGACATCCAAAACAAGTAGGCAGTAGAGCTGCTGGTACTTTGAGTCAAACACAGCCAGCTGAGTCAAGCTCAGGTGGTTCGGGAATCTGATTAGGATGCTTCTTGGGTCTTTTCTTTCTAAGGCTTTCCTGGCATGTCCAGCTGGGAGAACACCCCAGGGTACGCTCAGAACTTACTTGAGGGATTGCACTGCTCCTCTGACCCAGGAATGCCTCAGGATCCCCCAGGAGGAACCTGGAAACGTAGCTGTAATACCCTGCTTTGAATTAAGGAAAAGAGATAGATGGATGGATGTGTAGCATAAATTCTTCCCCTAGGGTGAGACTGTCAATGAAGACTTTAAAATTCAGTGCAAATAACCTGAACCATGAAGCGTGCCATAGTGCACAGCACACAGTTAATTGAAAATGCATATATTTAGCTCTAGTCATAGACTTGGTTCTCGGCGACTTTGTCCTCTTCCCCAAAATGAAATTGAAGTTGAATGTGTGTGATTTCAATACAGTGGAGGAAACCTACTGATGCAAGTGAAAGTGGTCATGAGAGAATTTAGGAGCAGTCAAATAAAGGCAACCACACTGGAAACTGTAGCGCTACTCAAGGAGATAATGTAGAAGGAGGAAGACTGACCAAATTTAAATAAGTAAAATAATTGTTTTAATAAAAGTCAGTTGAACATCCTATTTTAAACTGCTGCCATGTGTGTATAAAGTCAAAGGCACTGATAAACAAATAGCTGAGGTTTGAATTCTAGGCCCTTAAACTGAAAAGCCCGACAAGGTCTGACCCCCTACTCGACACTTTACTTTGCTATCTCCTCACTGCTATCCATCCTCCTTCCCCTCCTTCAGGCCAGTGCAGACCAGCAGGCATCAATCTCAGCCTTGATCTTCCTTCTCTTTATTGATGGTGGGGTGACACAGATGCAGAGCTTGTTACAGGCTTTCACAGCACTGACCTGCCACGCCTTGCTCTCCTTTCTCCTATAAAAGGAGTGAATGATGGGGAAGCGAAGGAAGGGGGGGCGACAGACTTATACAGCATGCATAACAACTGAGTACACCTCTCCACATGCATCATGCCATCCATCGCCCCCTGACTGTCTCATCTGAGGCCAATGGAGGTGCACACACACACAAACACACACACACATTTACAAAGACACCGAAGGTTGGCTGCAAGCTGCTACCCAAGCTGACTATCAAAGCTAAAAAGAAATCACACCCTGGCGCCTCAAACTCCAGCTCACATGAAGAAGGTCACACTGACAGGCTCGACTCCAGTTAACAAAGGCTTTTCCTATCTCAGGGACATTCCCCAAAAAAGCAAAGTGCTGACATGCACGCCCACTCAGAGAGAACCATATGTCTGCCATGTTCGCACACTCTCAGTCCGACACACATGCGCACACACACCGTGACCTTTGCAGCAAAATTCTCAAACTCTGAAATATTGGCTGGACAGCTTATTCTGAGGGTTATCAGGCAATATAAAGTGTAAACCATCAAGTCTTGTTCTCCACTTTTGGCACGCAGTTTAATTCTATAGTGCTGTACACATACACTGCACCACAGTGGGATAAACACATACTGCCAGGTCTGAGGTTTAAGGTGGCATTCAAACAAAAGGCATGTTCTCCAAGGAATATAAATTTTATAGGAATATTTATTTTATTTCTCCGACTTCAGAACCTTGAATCTGAGTTTTGCAGACTCTTGTTATCAGCATTTCCTTAAAAACAGAAATTTCAGATATTATTCCTGGAATTTGCTGGTGCCATTCATTCAGTTTTTCGGTCACTAATCTCATTGCCCCCAGGAACACTGGACGTTACCTTACACATCTGTTCGAGCTCTTCGTTCAGCATCTGGTGATTCTTCATCTCCTTCCTTCCTTTTGGATGTTACTATCACCTGGGATTGCCACATCTATCACAACTGCCCTCTTCTGCTCCGAGTTACCACCACTATATCCGGTTGGTTAGCCAGCAGCTGTTTGTCAGTCTGGATGCTGTAGTCCCAGAGGATCTTAGCACCGTTTCTCTCAGCACCTTTAGGAGGTGTGCCTCATGACGACTTCAGATCCATGGGCAGTACAGATGTTTGTGCACACTAGCCAGTTATTTTAGTCCCAAAAATATCTGCATTTGCAAATGTTATCCTTTTTGCCTTAACAAAAACTTTTGAAAATCTCTTGACAGCTTGAGAAATCACACAAAGCACAAAGTGACTGGTTAAATACAATATGCAAATTCAGAAAAAGAAAAAACAAACACCAATGAATTGAGTCTATGTTAACTGAAAAAGGCACCTAAATGACCCAGTTGTATAAATTACTTTGTGGAAGTAGGGCTGTGCGATATGACCAAAATCGCATCCTTATATAAGACATTTATCGTCCTGACAACGATATAAATCACAAAAATGTAATATTTTCTGTAAATTCTGTGAATCTCGGGCAACTCGATTTGCGTGAAGTTTTTCCAGCTGGGCGTCCTGGAGTCGAGTGTTTTAACCAATGCATGAAACTATGGAAGAAATATATACATTTTTAGACATAAGTTGTAACGTCCACCATTTTCTTTCAAAGGTTTGAGTCCAAGATTTATTTTTATAGCACCTGACAGCTCTTTTTTGCTTCTCATCCGTAAACTCTCCGCATACTCTTTCACGTGATTCAGTTTATTTTGAAAATCTCAACAGGATCTTGAGCTTTATTGTGAAAGGTTTATGTGAAAAACAAACGAGCGGCAGCGGAGCCATGGTTTTACGTCATTGTTGCGAACGACAACACGTAAAAACAGGCGCTTGTCCGTCTGTAGTGTAGTTATATTAAATATAAGAGAAAGAGAGAACTTTAAGAAATTGATATAGCCACTACAGTGTCCATCAAAACGATGGAAAAAAATATTGCCGTAAACAGTTTATTTTATGACACCACGAAACACGATAGCGTAATAGGAAACGATAGATGTTTTTATATCGTCATCGGATATCGTTATATTGAACAGCCCTATGTGGAAGTGCTTTTACACACACAGAGATGACTTTGTTCACTAGTTAAGATCATACTTTTATGCATGTATTTGTCCAGCTCTTCTTCTCAATGCTGGTTTGTACAGATGATGTGTAATAAAAAGCCTGCAAATATAAAACTGTCCATTTTGAAATTATTGCTAAATAAATATTTTCTTTAGAGAATGACTCACAACACAATAAGAACCACCGAAGGTTCATGCGTGGATTGTCTCCTTACAACTCTTCTCATTTTTATACTCGCACAAACACTACACTCACATAAAAGGCGTAAAATTTGTTCACCACGACTCATAAAACTGTTACATAAACTTGCATCATAACTTGATATCTGATGTATGTAGTTGAATCAGTTCTACTCCCATGTGCCCAAACATTAAGCCCCTGTATACTGTCTGTATCACAAATAATGGCCATTTGTGTGTTTGATGAGCGCCAGCACAATGCCAGATTATCCCCAAAGACCGGTGGCCACGGCTGACTGTTTGATGAGGAGTGATTTAAAGGGCTCAGGGAAGAGCTTCCCTAAAGCTCGGAGGGCCTCTACTTTGGTCAACACAAAGAAATCCCTGTTAAAATACAGTCCGAGACAAAGGTCTGAGTCTCTGAAGTGATTACAATCTATCTGTTCTCTAAGCAAGAGACCCAGTCAAAGAAGCCTGAGAGGTAAGTCTGCATGCTACACAACTTGGTATGAGACCCACGTGATCTGCTAAGGTCGACAACATCTGCACAGGAGATTGAACACTGATCACAGCAGGATTACACTTGAAACTAAAATGTGACACTGAAACACAGTGACCTAGCACCAAGCTGAAAGAAGCTGTGCATTAATTAGCCAGTAACCTGTATATGTGGTCAAACTGCATAATTAGAAAGAAAGAAAATATGAAGTATTAGAAAAAAAGACACCAACATGCTGGGAAAAAATTCAAAAATATATGTATTTTACAGTTTTAAAGGGCAAGACTGTGAACAAGTCAAGGGAACACATTAAGGCATGAGATATACTTGATTTTAATTATACACATGATGGTGAGTGTTTGGAGCTTCAGTTGTGAATTTCATCAAAAAATAAAAATATGTGTTTCAAGAAGATTCAAGAAGCACTCCAACGGTAAGTACCAGAGTCTGTATAGGCATGCTGGCATCTCTATGATGTGCTGTTGCCTCTGCACAGAGACAACTACACTTCATTATCAGTGTCATCTTAGGTATATGTAAATTAGACATAGGAACAAACAACTCTGATCGTTTAGTGGTTTGCTTGCCAAGCAAAAGCTCGCTGGTTCAATTCTAGCCAGAGAGACAAATTCCCATTGTGGTTGCATGACGAAAAACATCAAGCACGATCAAACCATCAAAGCCACCCGCTGTGGCGACCCCTGTGACAAGGGAGCAGGGGTAAAACAAAATGAAGACGTTGAGCTTTATCAATTGAAGTCCCACTGAGAATAAATTTCTTAAAAGAAATGGGCTGCCCTGATATTTACTGTTTTAGGTCATGCAAATATGGAAGCCCTCTGGTGGAATCCTCCACTAACACGTGTAGTAGGGAGTCAAGCACATAAAATGTTATATTATCACTGCAAGCGGATGTTTACGTTACTGCATGGTTAAAAAGCAAGTATCTCTTGCCTGAGGTCAACAGGTTAATGTAAAACATGTCATGTTTTGAAACTGGCAGATACCTTCTCTGTTGTGTTAGCTGGCAGCGCTTTCTTTTATTGGCCTTTCCTACATTTCATTTATGCTTATGTATCGTATGGCTCAACTGACCAACAGCAGGAGTGTAACAATAAGCAGCCAATTTTCTCAAGTGACACTTCCAATACAGTCGAAACGAATAAAAAAACAAAATAATAAGACTGAAAAACTGTGTTTTAAAAAAATGACAAAAAAGCATTATTTTGTGCAATTCTACAATGAATGAAAAATAAGAAGACAACATAAAAAGAGCAAATACTCTGTGGCTGTATGGTCTGTCAGCTTTGAAGCACAGTTAATGTCACAAGACAACAAATACTATGCCAATTATATTAAAACACTGCCCACTAGATATTAAAATATTGCCCACTAAAACATGCCCACTATAGATTACAGTGAATACTTTGATCGGACTCTTGTAAAATTACTGTCATGTCCTCAGTCACCCAAGAGCCGTACTGTTATCGATGTTATTATTCAAACAGAGCGACTGCGCCTCGCGCTACTTGCTAAATGACAACAATCTGGCAGAAGTCTGTCACCAGTCGGAAAATAGTCAAAAACTGAGCTAAACATCTCAACGTGCCTGCCTGATTTTAACAGTTAAACAGTTTACATTTGTATTCTTTCATGGAAAAAAAATATAAAGACAATTGTTCAAGCCTTAGAAGAACAATAACCTGAACACCATTAAGGTCTCCAATAATGGGAACAACAGTCCTTCACTTTCCTGTTTGTTGATCCTCTTCACTTGTCTCTTCACAAGCACAGTTTGGGTTACTGTAGAAGTCAAGACGTCACAGACAAATATTTTCAGGGACTCAACATTGACTTTTCACTTTCAGACAGGAGATCAGTTCTTTACGTGCCTGACAGGCAGAATAGAGTTGTAGCCTTCCAATATCATTGATGATGGATATGGAATAAGCAAGGCTTTGGGCTTGCAATCCTTAAATATCCAGGTCCAGGTCTTATGGTATTCACTCAGTTCATCTTACAGTGATGTGTAGTACCTCCTCTATAGCATTAGTCCAATAATTCTCTGTGCTGCCCAGCTGTATAGCTGCCCTAGCTATATATGTACCCAAGCCCTATGCGTCAGTTGTGGGCATCTTGGGATGCTATAGGTACAAAAGTAGGATTGGGAGAGAGGAGCAGTGAGGCTGCTGGTACGGGAGGAAGCCGCAGGGTTAGGTCGGGAGAATCGCTCCAGACCACTAGGACTGTTTCAGCCGTTTTCTTGGGGGACCCAGGAAGGGACACTGGGCCGAGGCCAGAGAATGATAGGCCTCCGCAACCAGGTGTGGGTGAGAGATCACCATGGATTTCCATCCTGATGTCTCCATCACATCAGCAGCGTGACTGAGAGAAAAAAGGGAAATGAAATACAAAGGAAACGGAAAGCAGGAAAAGATGTTAAATTAAGAAACTAAACAGATATCCAAACAAAGTACACAAATGAATCTTTTTTCAGAGAGAAAGAGTTTGGGATTATAAGACTCCATCTGTGTGGAGAGCAGCTTTGAGACATTACAGATTTGTCATACCAGCTGGTGAGGCTGTTATTTATTTTATATTTTTAAATATTTAACCTTTGAGGTCATCTTTGTGATAAATAACATCACACAAATAAAAAGGCATCATTAAAGTTGCACAAATATACAGGCATGCGATAAAAAGGTTAAGTCATAATGTTTTTTATATCATATCATGAAATAATTACTTGATTAATCAGCTAATGAACAGGAAATTATTCAGGAAAGATTATGATCATTTGTTTATTTATGAGAGTTGATTTTTAAACAAAAATGTTAAACATTACCTTTTGTTAAGTTTTAATTGTGAGGATTTGCTGCTTTTCTGGGTCTAATGAACTAAATCTTTTGGTTTTTTGGACTCTTTTATACAATACTATTACACAGTACTCTTAACATGTACTATAATTCATATATTATAGTATATATAGTAAGCAGAACACAATATTAACAGATAGATGGTTCATTTTAGAGACCACATGAAAATCTCACTGTGAAAAGCAAAAAAAGGCACACAAATGATGACTAGTTCCCATTTTCAAAGCATTCCACGTTTAGGTTTCATTATTCACACCTGGTATTGTAATGAGGAGAAATAAAGATGGCTAGCATGTGCCTATTTCAGCTGAATTAATTCCATTAACTGTTCATTTGTTTGCTCTTGAAAGATCCTCAGACATTTAAACTAAATTGTTTTTCCTTAGTTGGGAAAAGGGAGGAAAAAGTTGGGAAGGTTTTCTAATTAAGTGCTGATCAGTTTACTTGTGGTTGAGCTTACACCAGCAGACCCTGTGGCAGTCTTCAACCTCCTGACACCCTCAGGGTGCTGGGATGCACTATCACGCACACTGCTGTGTGGCCTTTAATGACATTTTTCATGTTTTATTGTGTGTAAATAAACAACCGCATGCGTGTGCGTGTACACGTGTGTTTATGTTTTGGCGCGTCTGCTCCTGGCTGTTTGTGTGTGTGTCTACGTGAATGTGTGGTCCTATGGTTTCCACACAGCAGCTCCAGACCTCCAGCCAACCTCTGACCCTATTCTCTGTGGAGGAAGTGAAGCCCTGCTCACAGTAATGGCCAGTACGCTCAAGCTGAGGGCAGTGAAAGGGCACAAGGAGAGCAACCACAGCAGGAGAAGGAGGGGAAGGGATGGACCGATGGAGGGGAGAATAAGACGGCAGCAGTGACAAATAAAGAAAAAGGGAGGTGACAAAGAGTAATCAAACGTCACGGAGGGAGATAGGGAGAGAGTGACTGGGAGTAGAGCAGTGATGTGAAGGTAAATCAAACTATAGTCTCCAGTCAGTGGTAATTATAAGTTACCAAAAAAATCTACTAAAAAGGCATTTTGTCTGTGCTTCACATTACTCGTGTTGTGTTTACATGCTGGTCTAAAAAAAAACTCTGTAAGCTTTTCTGTAAACAAAGTGGATTAGGAGAGTTTAGGTGCCTTTCCTCTCTGCTGCATCCCTGGTGAGGACGAATAAATGAGACAGAGGAAGGATAAAGAGGACTCTTATTGTCTCAACTACATGACTGTAAACTGCTTGTAAGGACTGGTGTGGAAAGAGGTTAAGGTGCTTCTGGGGGTAGGATTATTGGTTTCTCTGTGTCGTCCGTTTTCGATATTTGTCCTCTAAATTGATTTTTGTTTTGCTGCTCTTGTTGCTGTCGATTGTGTCTGCAGGAGCTGGGTTGATAACGCTTTGCTGGCCAGGAGTCCCCTGTGGCCAATTTTCCCACCACCACAACAACGCTGTCGCAAATTAAACTGTCATAACGCCCATAACCACAATTAATGACTGGGATTAGGGGGAGAAATCTGCATTACTGAACACCTTTAGGCACACATGAGCTCTTAAGCACAAAACAGAGGTGGGAGACGGGGAGAAAAGGGGGGAAAGGAAAGGATAATGGGAGTGAATGGAGAAGGGAGGGAGACGAAGCCCAGGCAGGAACAAGGAAAGGACATGAAGCTGTAAAGAGAGGACAGAGGAATGAACAAAGGGATGGAGAATGTGTCTGGCTCTAAGGCACACAGTTTGAACAAACACGGGTAAGGTGATAGGCAATTCAGGTAGCGACTGAGAGAAAGCCTTTTGTTTCAAGTGGGCATTGAAACACTGGATCAATCACCTGTCGGTGGACATAAATAGTAGTCATTGATGCTAATAGGCCACATCGTACCTAAACAGGCTGCACGCAACACGATTAACACCAGCAGCTGAGGTTTATTGCTAAATGGACCAATATGATACGGCAGCAAAATCATCTGATCTGGAGATTAAATTAAATTTCCTCGGGAGACAAAAATTGCTCCCACTGAAAATTAATGACATCCCCTGACAAAAAGCCGAACGCAGAAGCGTGCGTGTGTCGGTGAAAAAAATATTTGCATTAGTGTGGAGGTAGTTCTCAAGATGGATGATCTCAGCGTGAGCGTGTAACTCACTAGTTGATGAAGTCCACAGCCTGCGTCTTGAGCTGATCTGCACTGTGCAGGTCGGCCAGGATAAGGATCTCTGCGGCATTCTCCACAGACAGATTCGTGCAAAGAGCGTCCTCACACATCACCTTCAACCTCTCCAGAGCATACTACAAATGACAGAGAGGGAGGATAAACAGCAGGTAAACTAAATTACTTAAACAGCGCTGCCACCAACAACTGTAGCAGCGGTGTGTAATGATACGGTAACACAGAATTACTCCACCGCAGTGGCAACAAGCATTAAATTGAATAAGAAAAAAATATGGCAAAGAGAAGGGTAAGTGACAGATATGCATACTGAGTTGGAACTGATGATGGAATAGCATTACACGAGAAGCGAAAAATTATTTCCACTGAGTCTGATTACAAAATTGCCAGCTACAATAACCTTCTCTCATATTCACACACACTTGAAGATGACTCGTAGAGGTTTAGCGGAGACTACAGTTTAATGTCGCAGTACTTCCTTTTAATTTAACAAGTTACATTCTGTCTATCTACATTCAGTGACATAAAGCAGTCGATTTAAATGATTTGTCATTAAATAAGACTTTTTAAAAACGACAAGTAAGCATGTGGAAAGATTTAAATAGGGCTACTGGTTCATGAAAATCCCAAAAATACCAGTTTATATTTATTGTTGAATGCCAAAAAGACAGGAATTATCTGTCTTGCTCCAAAGACACAAGTTAGGAAACTAGTGACGAGTTAACCTCCTAGGACCTGGCGTCCACATATGTGGACATCACATTTTGGGTTATTTTAGACCAAAATACTCAATTTTGCCCTACATGGGCCTGATATCCACTTACAAGGACATTATACTACTACTGTTCTATCAAAATTTTAAATGAATATCCTCATATGTGGCTCTTATTTTCCTTAGAAACAAAAATCAGGTAAAAAAAAAAAAAAAAAAATCTGGTAATTCTTTGTTTTTACATTCATCAGGTCCCAATATGCCCAAATTTCAAAGAGAAATTAAAAATGCATGCCGTGGAAGAGTTCGGGTCTTAGGGGGTTAAATGTTTTTTGGTTGCAAGTGTTCTAAATCCTTTGGCAAAATTTCTACAAAGTCTAAGATCGTGGGAGCAGTGAAGCTATGCTGAGTCACATGGTTCTTTGAGCCAAATTTGCACATTAAGCTACGACTATTAGGAATGTTCGTGATTTCATAATCACTTAAAAAGAAAAAAAATTAGAGCTAGTAACTAACTCTAATTAGTCTCTGATAAAATGATACACATTTACCGACCACTATTTAACAAGCACGGAAAAATAATGCATTAGTGATCTACGATAACCAAGACGAGTAAAACAAGTTCAACCAAGGTGAATATAGATGACTTGGTATAAATACTAAAAACATACAAAGGTAAACACTACTAAAGCCTTTACACTGCTTGGAACTCCTCTGTGAATAAATTAGTTCATACAAAAAGAATCAAACAAAAATGGTATCACATGCAAACTATGCCAGCTAAAGCTCATATATCATAAGTTTACCACAAGATCTTTCCGGTGCAGATGACTCACTCAAAATGTGATTTTACAGAAACAGACAGGAAACACTGAATATCCGGCATGAGTACAAGAATAAACAATGAGGAAAACGATTCATTGGAAGTGTGTGCATGTCTTTACCTTGCACAGTTGGGTCGGCTTTATCCTTTGCTATAAAAGTATGTTTGGATGTGTAAGTATGTGTGTTTAGAGGTTGAGGAGCATTTGGTGCTTCCCAGGTGTATTTTTGGGAACATTATCATGCATACCAGCTTGTGTGTAAATGTACATAGTAGCAGGTGCAATGCACACACACACTCTTTGTACCTTGTCAGCTGCAGCCAGCAGGTCATCAGCCATCTTGTCCAGGTTGGGGGCTTTGCCTGTGTAGATGAAGCACATCATCTCTTTGAAGACATCTGGCTCCACGTCATTTATCTCCACACGGTTCTGAACGGGTAGAGAGGACAGGAGAGGAGAATACACGCAGGGTTTAACAGAATAAAAGAAAAGAGAAGAAAAACAAACGCTTTGACAATCCTTCAAAACTATGTATGGCAGCAGTGTCTTTTTTATTTCATGTAAATTTCCCAAAACCCACCTGACTTAAACTTTCTCACCTTGTTTAGCACACACACACACACACACACACACACACACACACACACACACACACACACACACACACATGCACTCACATGTATTTATTGTGAAAGACACACACACACACACACACACACACCCACACACCAACCCACACACACACACCAAAGCACACACACACACACACCAAAGCACACACACACACCAAAGCACACAGACAGATACTGTGAGGTCTGTTGTGGAAAATTTGAATTTCATTGCTTTTTA